CTTGGTCCTCCGTGACAGAATTTGGATGGTTCTCTGAATTTCGGCCGCTCTACCGATGACGGGATCGAGCTTTCCGTCTCGTGCTCTGGCTGTCAAGTCGATACCGTACTGTTCCAATGCTGGTTTCTCCTCGTCGGCCCCGAGGTTCATGCGATGGGTACCGCCTGGAGGGTGTGGTCTGCCATTGGCATACGATCGTGTCGCTATTGTGGGAAGAAGGTGTAGAGAATTGGCTAAGGAGGTTGCGACATTGAGTGCTGGTACGGTTGCGCCCAACGCGGGTGCCCGGGGAAACTGGCGTGTTGTTCGCGAGAGGGAGGCCCTCGACGCCTCGCTGATGCGCCGAGTGGCAGTTGACAGCAATTGGTGCCTTGTTTGCATTTCTAGAACTCGAATTCGTGTTTTATTTTAGAGCAATGACTAGGCTAGCTTCGCTTATTGGGTATGTCTTTGTTTTATATGCCCTGACGTAGTGCCACTGACCGTTGACATGGATGGAGATCGAAAGCTCTCGCAACTTCGAGTGGCACTTCAGCGGGAAGCTGTCATGCATCATCATTCAGTAGCTCCTTATCTTATCGGAGCTTCGACTCCCCGCCATCCACTTTGATGGAGTCTGGAGTCTTCGGTCAGTTCGGTGGGTTTCTGTGCCTGTGGTCTGTGCACCGTTGGTATTTAATCGCCCAAGAAATTTTTCTCTTTGTGAGATCTTTCCTGTTTTGGTTCTTTCGTGTGCAACTGCCGCGTTGAACAGCGCAATTTGTGGGAAAAGTCAGAGCAAATGGCGTCAGATTGAGCAAATCTGGCAAAGCCATAGTTCTCCGAGTGTCTTTATCTGCTATTAGTGTAAGTTCTAGCTTGTTGCTTGATATCCCCCTTTCCCTGCTCCCACCGGTACTCCCACGCCCATTCCATGATGATCGAATTGGTCCGTGTTACCAAGCAGACTTAAGACCTCTGCAGATGACGACGAAACCAGCATTTATGCGACTCTGACCCTTTTGGCACTTCACTCAAATTTGCAACTCCTGAGACTCTTTGCGGCTCCTGAGCTAACTCATACAAGTTCATAGTTGTTACCTTTGCGCATGTCGAGTGCTTGTCCAATCAAGCAGCTCATCCGAGGTTGGATTCGGCAACCCTACGGAGCCCTTCCTCCTCATCATCACCGTTCATCTGGTGCATTATTGCTTGGTGAGGGCACGGAATGGTTTCAGTAGGTTGCCGGTGTCAACAGTGGATAGATTATCGAGAGTCTGCTTTGCAATATACAGCGTGTTTGCTTCAGCTTCTCATGGCTTTGATATCAGTTGATATGTGAACGTGGTGAAAATATGTAGAATGCATGCAACATGTCCAAAGGGTCCCCCGATTTTTCAGCACATGCCTCAATAAAGTGATTTCACTCCATGGATCGTCTTCTTGATGTGTCTGTCATTTGCAACACGAGGGGTTGGACTGCGAACTTTGGACAAGTGAGCAGCGGCCTTTTTACTCATAGTAGGTATTCCCTTCTGAATCTTCCCTATTCTCGTTGCCAATGCCAGTGCTAAATAATAATAATTTGTACACTACAAAACTGCGAGACGGCATGCACAAAGTCTACGACATGCCCTTGGGACATATGATGATGCAGCTGGCGAATGGGATGAAGGTTTTACATATGCATTCTTGTACCGGGTTAGGGTTGTACATGGCATCTCAAAGGTCGAAGCCCGCCCCACGTTTTAAGCGCACTGCTGGGGAATGCCAAATATTGTAGCGTCTATCCCGCCTAACAACGCTTGATGCTAGTGGCCATTGACACGCAGTTTCACATCCAGACCTCGAACTTCACTCGTTTTCTAACACAACGACGCGACTTGAGACGCGTCAACATAAAGACATATACTCAGTTCCAACTAGCACACTTTTCGACTTCAAAGATCCCGACAAGGCACTTGCGCCAAGTCGAAAACATGCCCATGTACGGTGACTTGGGCAACAAACTGGTTTGTACAAGCTCACTCTGCGTCCTGCCTGGATACAGCACAATCCCTAACACCGTCACCAGGTCCAACACGCCAAGAGGACACAGAACTTGAGCCATCTTCCACCTTACCAGACCGAGCTTGTCCGCGCAGTAGCTCGAGAAATCCGAGATCTTGACAAGGACGTCGCCAGCTTACTCGAACCTTTTCAAGGGTCCTTTGATCCTTCCGCAGAACAGGCTACCGCATGCACGCTGCTGGTCAACCACCTTTCCATGCGGAGGAACAAGCGCTGTCTGCTCGCCTATCACCGAACACGAACGGACAAGCTCGAGGAGCTGGTGTGGAATGGGGCCGATATTCTCGATCTTGCCGGCCAGACGACAGGAGCACCCAGGGGCGTGACGGATGGAAATGAGGGAAGCGGGACGACCAGCAGTCTGAGTCCTCAGGAAGAGGATTACTTTCGTCAGTTCGGAGATTTGTTGGCCCTCTACAAAGGCCAATGGACAGATATCGATCTCACAGGCAGTCTTGAACCCCCACGGGACCTCTTTATCGACGTTCGAGTGCTGAAGGATGCCGGGGAGATCCAAACCGAATATGGGTAAGTTACGCTATAGACGGAGGACTACACGGTGGCATATCATTCCAGGCTGACCAACCAATGTCCAAAGGGCGATCAACCTGACCAAGAACAGTCAGTTTTATGTCCGGCAAGGAGATGTCGAGCGTCTGATAGCGCAGGGATATTTGCAAAAGCTGGGTTGAACGATTTCAGCCTGACAGGTTTCGAGATCGGAGTTTGTTGCTGCAGACCAGCAATGAAACACCGCTATCGGCAGCGGTTGCCGACAGAACAAACAACTCTCCCTTCTTCCAAACCATTGGTGGTTGTGGCCCTTCGGACCAATACCGGAGCAAAAGTGACGAGTGCAACGGGGCCAACGGAGCCAACGGTAGGTTAAATCGAAGGACATGCCACCCAAGAAGCTACATGCAATGGCCATCGATCAACAACCTGACCAAACGGTCAAGGGAGCGCTGAGGACCAGCCCGGAAGGGTTGCGCCGCATACAAAGCTGACGAGTCCTTGCACCACGATGACGGCAAAAGGTGACTTCACCCAAATATTTCCAGTCTACATGGGGCATCGAGTTACTATCTACTCTTTTTGGATGGCTGGACCATTGGTGAGGGACATAGAAGTGCTTGCATGGACAAGGGACTTCGAGCCCACCACCAGGCGGTAGCTTAGCCCGTAGGATGCGGGAAGGATGCCGGAAGGGCTACTTTGACGGCCAGTCCATTGATTCAGCATTCAGGAACCCCCACGGAATCGTCGCGGGGAACGACGGCTCAGGACAGAACGTCAAGGCTCCCTAGGGTGACAGCCAGCAAGGGGTTTCACATGGTCCATCAAATTTTTACCAACCAGTGGCCAAGTTTTCTGGCATGGCAACACTGTGTTTGTGGCGGCTGAACCCTTCTTTCTTCGTTGCTTCGTTGACCTTAGGTGCTGAGAAGCAACTTGAGCCAAGAGAATGAAGAGACAGTGAATAGCCCTCCCTAAAATGTCAAATCATAGCAATTACTGCCCACGTGAAGAAGCAGATAAGAATAGTAATAACGTTATGTAAATTTTTGACAGTTCATTGCCATGTGCTCGCTGTCAGTCTGTCACACGTGGAGCAAGTTTGACAGTTGCTGGGATGCAGTGTTCAATCATTTGTTTACACCAAAGAGAAAACCAATTCGCACTGGGGAGGCTCTTTGGTGGAACATGGATTGCATCATGCAGATGACGCCTTTCCTTTCAACGGCCTCGACCCCACATGCCCAGCCAAAAACACAAGTCCAGACCATCCAGTAATTGCTAGTATCATCAGTTTCACAACTGATCAGTGGCCGTACCAGTTCTTGTTCAGTGCTCCTCCGGCGCTACGACAGACGCTACGACGCTACGACGGGACGACATGGAAACCCCGAACCGTTTAGAGGTTATGGATCGATACTTGGGTGTCCCTATTAGGCTCAAGTATTTGCAGGCGGGGCGGCCAAAAGAATTCCAGCTGCAGTGGATGAGCATGGCGCGGTCGATGCTTGCGTGTTGCTGGACATCAACCGGCAAGATTGCTCCATAGAGTTTTTGCTTCTAACCTCACCTGTCAATGCCCTCCCTCCACCTGCACTCCTCGAATCGCCTCCAGCTGAGCCGGTGGACAGACCTTCTACAATAGCTCGGCCTCTTCACTTTTTATTCTAGGATATTTGTCACGTTTTCTCCTTCTTCGCGCGGACACCTAGAACACACCTGACTTCTACATCAGAGGAAGCGCTGTACTAGTATTTTCTGTACATACAGTATTTTGAATCTCTTTACTTTCCCTTCCCGTCCTCCCGCTCTCCAGTCACATTGCTTTCCCGCATTGACGTGCTTTTACTTGCTTCCGCATCACATCATCCTGCTCAGTCTACACTACATCGCAGTTCAGCTGGCAGGCAAGCATTAGGCTGCTTGGTCCTCGTCAACTCCCCCACACGTACGGTACAGACAGTAACGGCATCTTGCACCTCCCTCACCTGTCACGGAATTCTCGAAACGACCCGACGGCTTATCAAGTGCCCTTGCCTCTCGGGCAAACCTGGCATACTTACTACCTACCTGGTACCGACCCATCGCATACATAGACCGGTAGCGCCCTGTAGGGTGTTGTGTCTTTGCGACCTCCCATGTCGTCTCCAGCGGTTGGTTTCTCCTCGTGGAGAAGATCTCCCAGACGGTCTTCCTCCGTTTCGCAGTATGCTTCGGCCCAGGAGGAAATAGAGTCTTCGAGTTCTTCCACAGCCATCCCAGCAAGGTCCGGCCAGGATACCTCCAGCAACGATGCGCATCAGCTATATTCGACTTCGATGAACTCAGTTGCCCACCGCGAACCCTTGAGGTCCTTCATTCACGGCTCGGTCCGCGATAACCTAGGTATCACTAGAACCCTCCACTGATAACTACCCTTCTCGGTTGATAATCCACTGACTCGTGTTTACTCGTCTCTTTACAGCTCCTCTCGACAGTCATCAATACGCACAGTCCGTTCGCCAGGATACTGCCGAACTAGCAAACTATTTTCTTTCCGACCCGAAAGACGGACAGAGCCTGGCGTTCCTGAACCGAAGACGATCTTCCATCTCACAACAGACGATTCTCGGCCACACAGGTCAGGGCGCTGACACCGAAAGTGCCGAGGAGGGTAATGGTAGATATCAGGATACCATAAACGAAGTGTCTGAGCCGCCATCGCCAGAGGAAACCGATGTCGAATCATCAGCCGAGGGACCGTCAATGCTCACTACAATGCTGAGGAGGTCGCCGCCGAATACGAATTATATGCCGACTCCAGATAACGACGAGTTGCAGGAGGAAGAGGAGTCATGGGGAAATGGAGAAAGTAGCAGGAGAGGCTCATGGAAACATCCGGCGCCAGCACAGCCTTCAACTGAACGACATGCAGATGCAGCCGATACTTCAGACGAGCACGCGCCGTTGCTTAGGACCACATCACGCGAAGCCCGGCATAGCTATGGTATGACCAACGGCTCCAGCCACGAAGCTGATATCGAAGACCAAAAGACACCGAAAAGGCGATGGACGAGAAAGCTTGCCGATTCTGCAAGGGACAGAAGAGATCGCATCACCAAGATTGCTAAGGTAGCAGCAAACCCGAAGCGCTGGGACCGTCATGCCCTATGGGAGAATGCTATCGTTGCGCCTGTCACATGTTTACCAGCCGTAATTGTTGGACTCTTGTTAAACATTCTTGATGCGCTTTCGTACGGCATGATTCTATTCCCTTTGGGAAGTCCGATTTTCTCAAGCTTGGGATCTGCCGGTATTTCCATCTTCTACGTCAGCACAATCATATCGCAGCTGACATTCTCCTTTGGGAGCGTGTTCAAGGGTGGTGTTGGCTCAGAGCTGGTGAGTAGTCTCTTCACCTTCCTTTGCGCGTTCATTCATACTAACAACATGCCAAGATCGAGGTTGTACCATTCTTCCACAGTATGGCTGGTACCATTACCCAAATTGTCGGCGAAGATGACCCAGAAGCTGTCATCGCAACGACCATCACATCTTACGCGCTGAGCTCGATGCTCACAGGCACTGTATTCTACCTTATGGGCAAGTTCAAGTTTGGTTACCTCGTGGGTTTCATCCCCCGTCACATCCTGATCGGGTGTATCGGTGGTGTCGGCTGGTTCTTGATCGCCACGGGCTTCGAGGTGACGGCTCGTCTGGATGGCAGTCTTAACTACGATCTGGACACCCTGAAACAACTCACTCAGTCAGACACCCTCCCCCTCTGGACGATACCTCTCGGTTTGGCGATCGTTCTGTTCTACGGCCAGACGAAGATTACGTCCAAGTATTTCCTTCCACTTTACATCCTCACCATTCCTGCCTTGTTTTACCTGGTCTCGTTCATCTTGGGCGGCCCAGACCCAGACTCTTTGCAGAAACATGGCTGGGTGTTTGAGGGGCCTCCACCCGGTGAGCCTTGGTGGTATTTTTACACTTTGTACAGTAAGCATTCCCTGGTCCTTGACATACAAGGACACTACTGACTTCTTTTCGCAGAGATCCACAAGGTCGATTGGAGTGCCATTGTGCAATGTATTCCCGCAATGTTTGCCTTGACCTTCTTTGGCATCCTGCATGTGCCTATCAACGTTCCAGCTTTGGCGCAAAATATCGGCGAAGACCATACCGACCTTGACCACGAGCTTAAGCTACACGGTTACTCGAACTTCCTGTCAGGGTGCTTCGGCAGCATCCAGAACTACCTGGTTTACGCCAACAGCGTCTTTTTTATGCGCTCTGGTGGAAACACTCGGCTGGCGGGTATGATGCTTGCCGCCCTTACTTTCCTGGTGATGATGATCGGCCCATCGCTGATTGGATTCATCCCGGTCATGATGGTTGGAGTGCTCATCTTCGATCTTGGCTTCGAGCTGCTTATCGAGGCAGTTTGGCAACCAAGGAAAAAGCTGAAGTGGCTTGAATACATGACCGTGCTTGTCATTGTCGTGGTCATGGGCACATATGACTTCGTCATTGGTATCGGAGTTGGTATTCTTTGCGCATTCGCCGCCCTCATCATCCAAACGTCCAGAGTCTCAGCTGTCAGGGCGACTTACTCTGGTGAAGTCGTGGGATCGACGGTAAGAAGAAACCCAACCCAACAACATTACCTCAGAGATGTTGGTAAGCAGGTCAACATCATCAAGCTTGCCGGTTACCTTTTCTTTGGAACTATCGTGAGCGTGGAGGAGAAAATCAGGGCTATGATCTCCGATGAAGAGTTCAACAACCGCCCGATTCGGTTCCTCATCATCGATCTGTGGCTGGTCAACGGCGTCGACTACTCAGCCGGAGAGGTGTTCAACACCATCACCCGCCTACTCAATCACAAGGGTGTCGAGCTGATCATCAGCGGTGTCGACACCGAACAAGAGCTGGGTCGCCACCTCAGAGCGGCCGGTCTCGGTGAAGATGGGATTGACGTCAAGCTTCTTCCCGAGCTCAACTCCGCCTTGGAATACTGTGAGAACGAGCTTCTGAAGACATTGTACGCCAGTCAGGAAGCAGCCCGTCTTTCGCGGGCATCAGTTTCTGCACCTTCCGGCAGCTTGCAAGTGCCCGCTACCCAAACATCGTCTCACCAGCCTTCGCTGGACCCCCTCGGATCTTCTCCTCGCCGCAGCCACCTCCAGGTGGCAGCTCGCCACGCGCTCAACCAGCAAGCGGAGCAGCAACGGGTGTCAACAAGGTGGCAGAGCTTTAAGGAGCCGCTGCGGCTGATGCTCCAGATCTTCCAGGACGTCAGCGACAAGAACGAGGATTTCTGGTTCCGTGCCGTGGGCTATTTCAAGAGGCTCCAGTATCCCGCCGGAACAGTTATTTTCCGGCGCGGTGAGAAGGCAGAAGGGTTTTACCTGCTCGAGCAAGGCATGCTCAGAGCTGAGTACGACCTGCCGCAGGGGTGGCTCTGTGAAAGTATCGTGGCGGGAACGACGTGCGGAGAATTGCCTTTCTTCTCGGAGACGACGAGAACGGCGACGTGTGTGGTTGAGCGTGACTGCGTGTTGTGGATGATGGATCAGGAGGGGTGGGAGAAGTTGCAGAAGGAACAGCCGGATGTGGCGAGGGAGTTGTTGAGGATGGGGTTGAAGTTGACTAGCGAAAGGATGAGTGTGATCACGAGCTATACGCTTACTATGGCTGGTTGATTGCATGGACTTCTGTTGGCTTAAAGGGGTTTGTTTACCCGGGGAAACACAAAAAAGTGGAATGGACTGTTGGGTTTATATGAACATAGATCATTACATACCTCTAGCGAATATAATTCATGTCACAAGCTCTACCTTTATGTGCGTCACTTGCTTAGCGTGTGTAGTACTGTACATACACATAATGAAGATGATATGTCTTTGAGGAAAGCTGAGATTAAACCCCTATTCAAATTCTTTGGCACCACTACATCCAAAAGATTCCTGTAAACCCCAGTAGTAGACTCCATGGTTTGGTATCTGCTTAACAAACATAACCTGACCGGCAGATATATCCCTTCTCCCGCCAGTATCCCCGTTACTCATTCCTCCCCGTATCAGCTTGATATGGCGGAGGAGGAGCACGGTTATCGACAGGCACATCCAACTACTCTTCTCCTCTCCCACTTATTTCCATGCTCCCAGCAGTGTTACCAGAGGTCTTCCTCACCTTCATGAAAGAACTATCTCCTCCCCCCATCAACCCCTTCGTCATTATCTTCTTACTATCCTGGGTCTTCTGCGTTTCAACCTTGGCAGTGTCCTTCTTACTCACATGCACTCCCTGCTCGCTCTGTAACCCAACCACACTCAATATCTCCTCACTCCTCTGCTTTTTGTTGCCAGAAGTGCCAGAAGTGCCAGAAGTGCCAGAAGTAAACACCCCCCCATAACCTCTCCCACAGTCCCTTCTGTTCCCTCGAAAACTCGTCCACCCATTCCCGAGGAAACCAACCTTCTTTTCTTCCGCAGTTTCCTTTCATGTCCCAGGGGATGGGAGCGCTCCGGGAGGGAACGGCTTGAGTCCGGGCGGATGGGTATGGCACTGTAAACGCCTTGACGACACCCCCCCTGGAGTTGGAGGAGGAGGGTTCTTGAGCAGTCGTAAGATGCACTATCTGCTCATCACCTTCCACCGCATCCGCCAAGTGACAGAGCTCCTTTGACGATTCGATCAGTTGAACGTGCTTCTTGTAGATTGGTCGAAGGTCATTGACAGAGGGAAGCAAGAAGCGGTGTTCGAACACGGAAGCGCAGAGTAATTTCTTTATTCGCTTCTGGTGCCACTTGAGGCGGTTGGCAGGGGTACATTTGCAAACCATCTTGCCGTTCTCATCAGGTTCGAAGGCCTTATCCTCGCAGCGGCAGTCTCGGTTGAGGAGCTCGATGCCCTCGGGCATGGTGATGAGAAAATCTAGGAAGCGGGGGTGGATGGGGACGAGGGCACGGTTGGCGAAAGGGAGGAGGTCGGCGTAGTTGTTTTGCTCGTATTCAGTCTTATCTTTCCAGAACTTTGATGCTTTTGGCGCAGTGACTTGATGGTCAGGCTCCATATCCTTCAGCGTGACGAAAGGATATAATCCCTGATTGATTTTGTTCACTGTAAGATTGCAGCTCTGCCAGAGGAGGTCAACAGTCTCTGTTGAGGGGTAGAGACTTGAAGTTAACTTGTCTCCCCCAGCTAAAACAATTTCGAGGAGGGATAGAGGTCGGTTTTTTAAACGGGCAGAGGTAAAACGATGGGAGTGGTTGTGGGCGAGGATGAGGTTGAGATGGTACGATATGCTGCGAGAATCGCTGAGTTGGTTAAACCAACAGATTTGGGAAAGCATGGAGCTGTAGAGGTTAAATGTTCTTGGCAGACTGGTACCAGCATCAGTTCTGCCCTGCTCCAGAAACACATCATCGCCATGAAGTTTTCCGAGTTCCAAATCCTCGTCGTAGAGGCCTTCCTTGCTTTCTGTTTCGTAGCCTGGGAAACACCAGGACCAACAGGAGGACTCTTCGTCTCTAGCTTCATTAAACTTCGTGGCGGGATGACCATCCAAAGCGTCTTGTAACACTTGGTAGCATCCGTTGGCTTCCCTCACAATTTCTTCCACCGCCTCTTCCATTATCATTTGACGCCATTTCGGGGTTCTCGTGCTGTAGTCTTTCTCCAACATCCCAAACCTATGGCGGCAAATAAGTTTCATATCGTTACCGTTAATGTCCTGGACGCGAAGCATCGTGGCTTCCACGCCGACTGTTGTAAGTAACCCATCTTTCTTGATTTTGCGAGGAAGGTGGAAGTCGTGGAGGTCTTTCTCTGGTCTGCTCGCCACGATGATCTTGATCGAATTCGATACAGGTGTGGCCTCTCTAATATCCCCGGCCTGCTCCATGTCCTTGACTTTGTGCCAGGGCTGAATGTTGCGAATTGTCTCAATGAACATCGGAAAATGGAAATAGTATGCTTTGTTATCCTCCCAGGTCTGCGTTGTGAAACCGGATGGTCCGTCCAGGAATATGTAGACCGGCCTGAACGAGTCCAGCCCGGTCAAAGCGGCAATGAAGTATTCCTCCAGCCACTTAGTTGACCAATGTGAATTTTCCGTGGGAATGAGGTTGTCTTCCCAGGCCTCTCGAGGGATGTAACTGGGTAGAGGAACATCCACATCGCTCATGCCCAGTAGTTTGTACCATCTTTGCATGAAGATGCTATCAACCATCAATGGCTCTTGCTCAAAGAGTTGAAGAAGCAAATCATTGAGCATGTATCGATGGGCATCGTAAAACGGATCTTGTCGGTCTTGGTAAAAGTGAAAGAGGACGATTGGGTTCCGATCTCTTAGGTTCTTGATGGGCTTGAGAATAGAACGGTCGTGAAGAACCGAATCAACAATCATCCTCATCAACACGCTTTTGCCCGAACCAGGATGGCCAGAAACCCAGAAGATATTTTTCTGGGCTGTAGCGTTTTCCGTGCTGTCCTCCGGCACAACTCGAAGCCAGTCTATGAAGACTCTATGACTATCCTCCCCTTCGGTGCTTCCGTCACCGTCAGTTGCCAGTACCCATCGAAGTGCGCCGCTCTTCATAGTGGGCTTTCGAATGCGCTGATACCTGCCGCCTCGGTTGACACTTAGCCTCAAACTGTTCATAATATGAGATCGGAGAACGCCAATTGGGGGTCGGTACGCATAACTCTCTCTAAAGTCCCAAAACGTTTCATTGTATCCGGGACGAGCCCTCGGGATACGAGGTAGTAGTCCGTGTGGTGTCTCGGGTAGAAGTCCGAGGATCTTGTTCGGCGCAAGCCCTCGTCCAGCCCCCATATCGTCTCGAAGAGCAATTACTAGGCGGCACACGTCTTTTTCAATTTGGTCATGAGGCAGGTAGCCAGAGGCAAAATGACTGCACTTGGAAAGGAAAGCTGCTTCCTGTTGAGTGCTGTAAGGTCACGAAGTGCATCAGCATTTTATCCGTGCATATCGTGACCAAGAACACGTACCATAGTGCTCGGATAAAGCTTGGTTCCAGGAGCTCATTCAGTATTATGCGCAATTTTTGGAGTTTAGGTTTGATCTCTTTTCTGTGGCCCAGTGAGGGAATTCTGAAGTCAGTATCTTGCAGCGAAGACGAGGGATTGAAGTTGCCCTACGAATGGGAGTTCCTGGTTCTTTTTAAAGACTAGATACGCTGTGTCAGATACCTGATCACAGCTGCTTTTTATCTCATAACAAGATGTGCACCATGGAGTACTCACCTCATACGCATCCCGCATCGTGGTCGAGTATGCTAATATCTTGGAATGCAACACTTGTATCGACGGCACCTTTGGCATTGCCTCGTAGACCTTTTTTAGATGGCAAAGAAGGGTGTACTCGCACATGTGATCAAAGAAGGTGTGATATTCGGTCGTGGTCTCATACTCGGATACGAGGTATGACTGGAGTTCGTCGAACAGTTGGATAGTATAGGCCGCTTTGGTAATCAACTGAAGGGCTGCGAATGCGTCCATTCTCACATGGTTACCAGCCTCAGGACGGATGTTCATATAGAGATCTCTCCAGTCACCCATGACATGACCCGTACGATACGGGGACCAAATCTCAGCCATCACCGTTCGTTCGGGAGGATTGTCCGCCGTCGCGGGAACATTGGCTCGGGGAGGCATCGTGGTACGAGACAGGGCGTTGTCAAACTGGAGACTGTTCGTTCGTGAGAGGATTGGATTCGAGCTGGGGCTTCTGTTCTTCGTGGATGTCCAAGTCAAATCTTGTATGCGTGCGTGGAAAGGAAAATGAACCGACCTGCCTCCTAGTCCTTGGTTTCCATGACTAAAATGGGGTCTTGAGAATGGGACCCTGACCTGGGCGGCTATCCCATCAATGATCACGCTCACGTTTGTTCTGTGCCAGGCGTGAGTCTTTGTTTCCTGTGGAGGGAGGTAAACCAACACCCACGAAAACCAACATGGAAGAACCAACACGACTGAATGACTTGGAACCAACCTTCAGAGTTGAACACCTGTTGAAAGGAAGCCACAAACCGAGTCCTTGGCGCCTCCCTTCAATTTTGCTACATGCTTGCCTCTGCGTTGCCTGTAGGCTTTGCGACCGACCTTGCTAGTTCTGAGTGTCGCCATTACTCCTTCCCTATGTGGCTATAACGCACACCATGGGACCTACCTGTAGTCCCTTGGACAACCTCGCAGTCCGGTTGAACGGTCAAAAAATGACGCTCGGGGCAAGTTAAAATCATGAATCTGGCTGACACATACATCCATGGATGAGATGTAGAAGGCCAGTGATGCGGGCGTCACAAACAACTTCGGGAATCTAATGTTTGACCCTAACCCTGCTAACACTCCTTTCGAGTGACGACGACGCTAAGCACTGCCAAGATCTGGTGATAGCTTCATCTTCGTCGTCAGCTTTCTCTATCATCGCCGCCAACAAACGATAGCAACCAAAAAGAACAGAAAAGAGGACAAGAGCAGGGATCAAACGGCTGACGTTACAGCATCGTGGGAGGGAGTAGAAGAGCCCTATTGATGCGTAGCCGGAAGACGCCACTAAATGCGTAACTTCCTCTGGAGTGGTCCCTGCTTCCTCAGCATCTGGTGAGCAATTATGTATCAGGCAGCCTCAACAAGGGGTTCCAGGTGGCGTGAGTGCGCAACCTCACGCCCCGGTACCTACCACGTATTACGACGCGGGTTGCGCACTACACCGCTCGACCACACTGCCATTCCTGCCAAGTGTTGAATACACGTCCACTTGAGGTCCTTTATAAACCCCGATTGAACGTCATGTTGGGGCCCTGGGTGCATGCGACCACTTTCGACTTCGCACTCCCCAATTCGTCACGCGTCATGCACCATCTCTTCGCGTTCAACAGGGAAGATTGGTGAAGGGACAAAAAGCCAGGTCGCGCAAGCAAAGAATCAACAAAGGCTATTGCATCATACGTCAGTTTCTACTAGTTGCGAGACACTGTCCCTCAAGTCGACCAAGTTCTCAATCGTGCCCGTTGGCGAGGTTGGCAGTTGGCGGTTGGCACCGGACAACATCCCGTCAAGTTGTTCCCCTTGAACCAACGAACTTGTACATGTCGTGGTCATTACAAAGGACCTCAACTGCCGACTAATCTCTTTCCTACTCAGTGCACCAACAACTAACTACATATATATATATATATATATCGCCGCAACTTGTATGCCTGTGCACGCAAGACAACAGAACAATGGTCAGGTGGACCACGACGGCGCCAGACATCACACGTTTTCCCTGGCATCATGAAAACAAACTGACGACATTCGAAACCGCCAAAAAAAATCAAAAAGAGATACAGGGACCAAACAGACCGATATCTACTGCGATGGGGAAACCCCATCTAGATGCCATATCTCATCATGTCATATCAGACTTCAGTCATGTCCAAGCCCACGGCCCTCAATCCATGCCGAAAACGCTAGGAGTAATTCTAGGAAAGCATATCCTCTGTTTATCTTCCTACATCGTCCGTGAGTTCCTCACCCAAACAGAGGATTGCCTTAGCATCCGGAGGCCGCATATAATACTGAAAATACTGTAGGAACAATGGGACCACGACATCAGTAAGCTCGACATGCTGAACGACACTTGCATATATGCCATCCTAGGCCCCAGCTTACACACAATTCATTTCATATCTTCTACGTTTGTCTTCGTGTGTTACCAACCGTTTGGTACCTCCCTCTTTCGCTAAAGCCTCATCTTCAGATGTTCGTCACTCAGCAAACGAGACCGAGCCTAGGTACCTATAATGCCCACGTCGCTCAGGGAAAAACGTGTTCCCTCAAATCTTGCCGACAGATGACGATGTGTGATCATCAGCAAAACACAAAACACAAAACACAAAAAATTAAAAAAAAAAATTAAAAAAAAAAGGATGGGAGGACCCAAGAAGAGGAATACCGATATTTACGACCTATACTTGGGGGGTTCGGGGCGCCAAAAGTCTTCTCTTTTAATGAGTAGGGGGAAGAAGAGACTCTTGGCGCCCCGAACCCCCCAAGTAAGGTGACCCCATATAATCCAAAATGCCATAACATATACCATTGCCATGGAGTAGTCATGTTAGACTTTTACAACCCGAAATCCAAACACCCCTGATCCATGCTGAAACTAGAGTAATCTGGGAAAGCTTCTTCTTTTCTTATTTTACTACTACTACAACATCCATGATCCTGAACTGGGTTTAAAATAGGTAGTGTGGCCATGTCACCAGGGGAGGTGGAGGTGGAGGAGGTGAAGGAGGAGGAGCAAGTGAGTTTCCATGGTCATGGTCTTCAAGCGTCTCCAGTTTCCGTTGTGCGGAGGTGAACTGTTGTTGCTGAAAATAGGAACAATGGAGCTAGGTAGGTATGACATCGGTTAGTTCGGACATTGATGATTGAAACGACACTCGCCCGGAAAGGTATGCAGGACATCTTGCATTGGGCCCATAGGCCGTTCATTAGAGGTATTTTCTTTTCTGTTTTTGTTTTCTTGTTCTGGCTCAATTTGGGGCATGATCGGGATTTTGAAAATTCCAACTCTCATGGAAGAAGACGCGTTCATCCGATATCTTGGGGCGGGGGTGTTCGGTTCACGACATAACCTCCCGTGCCTCCCAGAGATGCCAACCATTTCTACCTACCGCTATAACCTCTTGTCTCTTCACAATCAAGCACATACGACCATAGATGGTAGAAAACTCGGGATCCCGTCCCTTCCCAAGATACGCTACCAGGGGTTGACTAGTAGTTGGGTCGGTGACGACCAGCGAATCCCAGGTGTTGTATGTTTTTTTGTGGTGTTTTTATGTTTTCCATCTTCTTTTTTTCCTTTCTGGCACCTCATATAAACCTCCACCGTTCCATTCTGTCCTTTTTTCCTTTTCGTGATTATGTGCTTGTTTTTTGTCTCTCGTTCTGCAGTTGAATCGTTCGTCCGAACTATGGTAGCACAGGGACGGGGGTCGGTCAGATTGTTCCTGCATAACCATTGCTACGCTATGCAGGTACCATATGTTGGGCATGGACATGGTGGGGTGTCATTACCGTTGACTGAAGATGATGAATCCAGACATCGTCGATGCTGAATGGGTAACGGCCAAGCCACTTGAGTTCGAATGGCAGCGTAGCAGAAACCCGGACATAGTACGTGCATTTAGAAGGTACGTATGTGACGGATAGAATCTCTACGCAAAGGCCGATGGACTGATGCACAATGTTCGCATCGTTGCCTCAAGGACAACAAGCCCGGATCTCTTTCCAAGAAACCCGCGGCCATACATCAGACTTGAGCGCAAGCACAACACTTCCGATGGCATGCTCATATCGAAGAGGTAGCATCGGAGGGTGACGGCAAAAGCCTTGGATGTCCAGATGATTTAAATTAAAAAGAAACTGAAGAGCGCACATGGGGAAGCCGATCTCCGTTCGTGGGGACCGGGCGGTATTGGCGAGAAGGAAATAGATTGCCTGGCATTCAGTGGCCAGTGTAGATCTTTTCTCGTCTGAGAAGAGCTGAGTTCGTTCGCTCGCGTGGCTCGCGTGGCATTCTGCGCTCCCCGACGGAAAAGGCAGCAAGCAGTGTTTGGGTTTGCGGGAAGGGAGGTTCATTTTGTCTTTCTTTCCCAATCTTTCCGTCCAGTTTTGTCGTCATCCCTTGCTTTGAGGTCCGTTGAAGATTAAGCTGAGATCTCACCATGACTGCATCCTGCATCGATCCCGTCTGCAGTCTGCAGCTTCAGGGTCCTCCCTCCTTCGCTCCACGGAAAGAGAGGCCGACTGAATGACAGGCCGATAATAGTAATTCAGTTAAACAGCGACGCTCGATGCGGTAGTCCAGGCCGAGGGAAGAAATCAGAATGGAAGTTGCGCCGTGGTATTCCACTGGGAGAGCCTTCGTTTATGGTAAAGCTCTGGTTATGCTCGTCGGTTGATCCGTCGTGGACGTGGAGTCGTCTCGTGTGGCAAGGCCCGGGGGGGGGGACTGGCGTCGCTGGGGCAAGACCCAAGTTCATCACCCACATTCCGTCACGTTGCAGCAGCGTGACTTCTTTCTGCAATCTGCAAGCCCACGGCACGTACCTGCGTTAATGAAGTGCGCACGGTCTTCTTGTCACTTGGATTGGTCCCGGGGAACCATTCGAAGGATTCGGGGAACTACTTTAGTTCCGCCTAGAAGTGCCTAGCATGGAGGCTGTCCTGGCTGTCTGTTTGTGGTTGTGGTTGTGGCTTCAGCTTCGGATTATCAAGTTCGCCTTGAACTTTGGGTTTCTTTCATTGCCTCCCTGGGCAGGCACTGTCATACCCACCGGTACTGTAACCCGGCCTTTTTTCGAGTTTAATTGCGCCTCATATTCAGCCATGGTCCTCAGCTGTGTCTCGAGTCTGCGATTCGAGAATCGCCGTAGCAGGTTTCATCCAATTGTGATGTGTCGGAGAGAACAGCAGTAACCATGTGATAAAAAGCACCCCAAGCAAAACGTGCCACTGTGATATGGCCCCAGCAGGCCCACGCAAACCACGCTGTACCTTAGCTCATAGGAGATGTGCTTCCGAAGCCCGCTCAGCAGGCGTGGATCTCAATGCCCTGATAGGTGAGATAGGCTGCACAGCAAACGATTTGAAGTGATCTGCACGTGCGAGAGAGCAATCGCAAACGACGAAAAACGAAAAAAGGCCGAGGAAAGGTCGAGCTGTGAAGGTCGAGATCCTCGATGGGATGTGATGAGAGGTGATGGGAGCGTAATATCGGGCGGAGAAAGAAGCCGTTAGCGTTCAAGGCCTGTGAGTGCGGATGCGAAATATCTGCTGCTACCCCACGACGGCACTGCCTTGCCCTCGTTCCGGCCGCACATTGCATTGCTGGGTATCATGGTGTAACGAGAGGCTTCGACACCACAACTCTCATTACCGCGTAGGGTGCCATGATGTCTGCCGGCGTTGCTTCATCCATCTCGTAAAATCGCTGTGGGAAAGGAAATAAATAAAATATGAAGATGTCGTTGACCAGTGACCACACGGGGGCAAAGATAGTGTAAAGAAACCCCACGCGCTAGAGATCCCTTGTCTGCTCATGGAGCCTTGCTGGCATGCCCCTGGGAGACGTGAATGGGTCGGGCCCCAAAGCAGGTCCCCAGGTCCCCTCCCAAATCGGCTTCATTAATCCATAAGTCGAATTTGGGGTGGGATTGCAAGGGGACACTGGGAGGGATTCTGGCAGGGGCCCGGTGATGGTTCGTCAAATTGCATGTTCGCAACAATGGCAATAACTCTCCTTGTTGGACAGAGCGTGCCATGGAACCCAGAGCCGGAACCCACATGGAACCAGACAGTGGCAGGCACCTCATGGTCAGCACTCCGGGACTGTGTGGTGTGTTGCGAAATGGCGAACAGAAAAAAAGAAACGGCGAAAAAGCCGGAGCGAGGGAGGGCTTGGACAGAACGAACGACCCCAGGACTTGTCACCTCACCTTGGGAAAAAAAGCAAGCAGCAAAGCGAGGGTGAACTCATCTCTCTCTAGAGTCATGGGCGTTTCTCTGCTCATCTCGAGCTGTCCAGGTTTCTCCTCTTCCCCACGAAACTCGAGGTCTTGCTTGTCGTCGTACCCTTTGCTTTCTCTTATCCTCCAGCTTCAACCTTACCTGGGGCCAGGTAATGAGACCCTGACGCTGACGCACCAACTGTAAAAGCCCCTGAGCCCAGAGCGACGATTGGATAATCATTGTTTTCGTCACTGTCCTACCAAATGTCTTCATCAAGCTTTCCGCACTTGCATCCACTTGCATTTTCTGGTATTCTCTATTTCTTTTAGACTTCTGCGTATTTGATTGGACGATCGTGAGCGCGGCGATTCAGAAATCAGAAGTCCCACCATCTACGCCGCACGAACAAGAACGACGAATTCCTCTGCATTGTGATATCTTCCTCCACTAGGGAAACTATTGCGACCAGTCTCTTAGCCTATCCCGTTCACAGAGAACATTGCTCAAGAGCGGAACGGGCAGGATCGGAAGTGCAACCTCGACAGCCGCAACATTTACCTGGACTTACCGCCCCGCGCATTTCGCGCATAGGGGACTGGACTGCATAGGGTCGTTTCCACAGGGCAACTCAGCCAGACCTTCCCGCTTGAAGGGTCCCGTCTGGGCGGGCATGAAATTCGCTTAGAGCAGGGCACCCAAGAGCCGACTCTTCCTTTTCTGTCATTCTACTCACTTCGACGTTTTTTGCATACTCCAACCTTACCTCTACGTTCGCTGTTTTTTCATGCTTGTTGTCAATCTTCAACAAGGCTCTCACGAACAGTCGCCAGCCTCCGAAGATATTCCAAAGCAGGCCCACCATATACACCGTGCTCCCCTGTTACGTCGGTACTTCCCGCAATCCGTGGACACCCAAACCACCACCGCCCAGACACTTCAGCGCCGTCCGATCTTTCTTGCGCTGCCGTCCTCCACACTTTCACAGCTGCACTTTACAGCCTTCCGTACTAGCATCATTCGTTTGGCAGACACTCACCGACCACGAAAAGCAATCGACGGCAACCTAGACGCAGCAACCGATTTCCTTGTGAAGCACGATTTACTACAACGACCACGAACGAAGCCACTCAATCCGTGTTATTTCAATCCGCATCAGCCCCGTGTTTCTCGCTGTACCCGTCCTTTATCTTGGGAGTAGGGGGTCTTGCGATATTAGTCGGCACATCTTCCGCCGCCGTTTCGTTGACGACGCAGCCACACCTCCTTTTCGTGGCAACTGCAGAACTCTGAAGAAACTGTCGCAGATCATCGGCGTCAATTTCTGCGCTATCCGACGATTCTTAACAAATCACCCATCCTACTGAGGTAAGCAGAGACATTTTATCGCCTGCGCATCTCTTTACTTGGGAGGTGGGATGAACAAGCCCGTGCGGTGTGCCTGAACGCCGGTGTGTGTTCTTGGGAGTCAGTACGTACCAGGTACCTTTACCGTGGTTTAGGCTACTCCACAGCGTACTGGACATCACTGGCATGTTTGTTCCGTTTCGGTTCCCGCCCTCCGCAATCCACAATGTTTAAACACCGGGGTTCCAGTTCGTGAAAAGCCCCAGCTGCATGGCACTAACAAAATGTTTCTGTTTCTAGGCTCAGATCCGGTCCATATCTTATGAATAAATAGCCCTCTGCTTCGATCCCGCCGAGCACCGTTTCATAACAGAATCCGACCCAACGCCTTGGTCCACGACACAACGGGTGTCGGTGTAGACGTACAGTATTACGTGTCTGGCCCAGAGCTTCGTACTCGAGTCTTCTGCGCGGTCAAGCTGCGGTTGGAGTCTCTTCGCTGGTGGTACACGTAACTAGAACCCACTTCATGGACATCATCAAGCTTACGGTCGATTTGCGGCGATAAACCAACCACACAACGAGTGCCCCATCGCTGAGTGGCCTCTGCAGGATTTGCAAACACCCCTGCCGAATATCCTCGCACCTCACAATGTCTACCACAGTACCGAAGCCGGCCCGGCTATCGAATGGGCCACCCAACTCCGCTCTCCCTGCGCTTCCTATGGGCAAGACGCGGAAATCCGTAGGAGGACTGTCCCTTTCAACCAACACTGCGATGCCATCAACACCAAAGTCTGGCGTTCTTCGAACCCCATCAAGCGCTTCCAACTTCCGCAACTCTACAGCATCACCAGCTGGCGGACTGCCCCAGCCGCGAGCAGTTTCTTCCATCAACGCTTCATCCAAAACATTACGGAAATCCGTCAGCATAAACTCGTTTCCGCAACCACCACGCGGCGAAGGCCGACTTACCAGCTTACCGCCTAGTCCGCTTTCCGCCGGTGGCTTGTCGCGGAAATCAAAGACACCAACAACACCAACGTACCAGTTCTCCGGTAGCACGGGGAGTCTCCTCAACGGGAGCGGTGACGGCAGGTCGGCTGCCCGGTCTAGAAACTCGGATGGCTTGATCAGCATCGCATCACCACCCCAGAGCCGCAGTTCATCCGCACAAGACTCGTACTCGACTTCAGCCACGCAATACGAAGACATGGAGGCAACACAATCTCGACCAGATACCTCTGCAGGAAGCAAAAGCAAACGCGAATCAATGACCGAGAAAAAAGGCAATGTCGTCGTGAGCGTAAGAGTACGGCCAGATGCTTCCGGCAACGAACAAACAACAGACGGGGAGTGGATGGTGGACGGGAGGAGGTCCCTAATTTCGTACAATGGCAAGGAGGGAGGCGATTACTATTATGGTGAGTCCGTCGAGACAAAGTACAGAGGACGTGGAGGCTGACAGCGAAACAGATAACGTTTTTACGACCCACGATGACAATTCGAAAGTCTACGACCATAGTGCCAAGCGCTTGGTAAGGCGAGTTATGGAAGGATATCACGGCACAGTCTTTGCGTACGGTATGACGGGTACAGGAAAAACGTTTTCGATGCAGGGCACGGCCTCTTCGCCAGGCGTGATACCGCTGGCTATTACCGACATCTTCTCATACATTCGCGAAACGCCGTCGAGAGAATTCCTGCTTCGGGTCAGCTACCTGGAGATCTACAACGAGAGGATCCACGATCTACTGAGTATGGCAACGGGAGGCAATGGTCCTGGTGCCCCAGCACAGGAGGAAATCAAGCTGCGTGAGGACAGCAAGCGGGGTGTTTATGCGACGCCTCTCAAGGAAGAAATTGTTCAGAGTCCGACGCAGCTCCTGCGTGTGATTGCGCGGGGTGATCAGGCTCGTCGGACCGCAAGTACGCAGTTCAACGCCAGGAGTTCACGCAGTCACGCAGTCGTCCAAATTGTGGTGGAGAGCAGGGAGCGTGTGCCCGCGGGAGATAGCTCAGGGGGAAGCAAGCGACAGGGTCTGCTACCGGGTGGCGTGCGAGTTTCTACCCTGAGCTTGATCGATTTGGCGGGGTCAGAGAAGGCGGCTGACACAAAGGAGAGACGTCAAGAGGGTTCGCATATCAACAAGAGTTTGTTGACCCTAGGAACGGTCATCGCCAAGCTTTCCGAGAACAAGGACAAGGACGACAAACATTTACCTTACCGCGACAGCAAACTCACACGATTACTGCAAGGCGCGCTGTCGGGTAACTCGCTTGTGAGCATTCTCTGCACGATTCAGTGTGGCGCTGGCGGAAGTACCGCTGGAAGCACTCACATCAACGAGACACTCAACACTCTGAAATTCGCATCTCGAGCGAAAAACAGCATCGTCAGTCGCGCTAAACGTGCAGATGAAGCTCTCGGAGCCGGGGGTGATGGCAATGCTAGGGTCTTGCTTGAACGCTATCGGATGGAGATTGCTGAACTGCGTAAGGAGCTGGAGAAGCAGGCAAAGTCCAATAATCAAAAGGAGGCTGAGGAGGAGATGGAGCGCGATGCAAAGGAGGAATTGGCACGAGAGCTGGAAATGGAGCAACGCCACGAAGAACAGATGCTGGAAATGCAGCTGGCTCGAACCGCTTTGAAAGAGAGGATCGACCACTTGAACCGGCTTATTCTCAGCTCAAAATCGATAGGAGTCAACGCCAACGGATCACTCAGCTCCTATTCGCTCAACACGTTCAACAACAGGTTTTCTGTGGGATCGGTAAGATCCGTTATGACCACCTCTAACGCAGGCAGGCCATTCTTGGAGAGATCTACGTCTCTGGCGTCATCTTCTTCGACAATTGGCCGGAGATCCCTCGAAAAGCGGTCGTCTGGTAGCGGACCAGAAGCACCTCTAACAGAGGCCGAAGATGAGGATAGCATAGGCGAATTTGGCGATGGGACAGCCTCGCTTGCGGCTCAGAATCAGGCGTTGCAGGCAGACCTGGCGGACAAGAACCGGTACATCCAGACTCTGGAAAAGCGACTTCTTCAGGCTCGCCGCGCAAGCTCATCCCGTACCTCGCTAGGGATCACTCCAGGGAATAAGATACTGGTAGGAGAGGACCATAGCGTTTCGACCTTGCTTAGGGAAAAGGATGCGGAGATTGCTGAGCTTCGGGCCAGGTTGGATGACAAGGACAGAATGCTGGCGGCATTGCGGAACTCGGCAAGATCAAGAGACAACGCGGATCGCGTCGAGTCGAGGACTAGCAATCGCAACTCGCGGGTCTTTTCTGATGATGGCAACTACAGTCTTGCCAACACCCCCGGCGCCACCACGCTCAACAGCCCAACAGGTTCCACGCCAACGTTAAGCAGGCAGGTGTCGCTTATGAACAGCGCCAGGACTCGAACAAAGAGCGTCGACGAGATGAGCAAGATGCTGGACGATATGATCCAAGATCGTGTCGAATCCGGCCAACTTATCCGTGGGAACAGGGGAAGCATTAGAGTCGCCCCCACGCCTGCCCCGACGATGCCGTTGCCACCACCTCCGGGCCCGATCAATGGTGACCACCCCCACCGAGAGCCTGTGCGGCTTTCGCAACGGACGCCATCGAGGACACCATCACCCCCGACCCAGATGAACGAACCACCTATCAAACTCCAGCTGCTGTCGAAACTTAGGACGTCGTATACTGCTGAGTCTCATGGGCCGGTCATCATGGAGGTGTAAAAGGCCGTACTATCATTCGCAGGCACCTTTTGCCTGTGCTGGCTGATTTCTTTGTGTTTTTTTTTGGCCCGCATCTCATGTGTTTGGATGCGATTGATTTGCCCCATATGATGATTTTATACCCGAGTTGCATTTTTACCATTTTGTTCTTGCTGTCATTTGCTTATTTTAAACAAGCCCGCTTTTGGAAGAAACACCCCGTCTCGGGATTGGGGGTAGTTTCCTGGGTTATGAAGAGATGAACGAGTTGGTTGGTTGATTGGTTGGTTGTCGGATTTATCTTGTTTTTGTTGCTGCCGAAATGCGAAGAGGCGCTGCTGTATCATATCCGCTTTTTACATTCTCCTGTGTTCCATGCATGCATGTGTCGGATGTATCTGTATCTTTTCTGTTACTATCTTTTCTTTAACCTCCTCTCTGATCAGGCTTTGGGTTGGAAGGGGCGGTTTTTATCATGACAAGCGGATTTGGGATGGGTTTAGACGATGAATGGGAAAGAAGAGGGCGTAAAACACACACATATTATCATTATGGCCCTGAAAGTTTTATATACTTGGTCCTGAACGACCGGAGACGGGGAGTAGGAGAAGGGAAGGAAAGGGAGGGAAGAGGATAAGATACCGATATGATTACAATCCAAACACACAAGCGGTTTACGAACGCAATGTATCTTCACTCATGGCTGATTCAAAACATTGACGTTACATTATAAAAAATCTAGTTTGTCTACCTAGGCTTTTCTACACCCCAAGTTTATCCGAAGTTGTGAAGTCGGCCATGGAATGTTCAAAGTCGCACAGGTGGCCAAACCGCAACAATAGCATCGGTATTGAAACTCGCCTAATTCTGCCGACGAGTCTTTAACTAACACATCAATTGCTTAAATGCGATGATCTCCATGTACATTATCTCATGGTCCCGTGGATCGTTGTCGAAATGCTATTTTTGGGGACAGCTTATATAGTATGTAGTAAGCATGTAAGCAGACGATTCCGGGTAGGTATTCGCTAGAACTGATGAGCTTCTCAACCGACACCAGCACGCGGGAGACTGTAAGGCTTAAGATGCGGGACGCAATATCTCGAAGCCGAAGATATAGGACCGCAACGACCGGTTGCGTACTTGAGCGCATACCGTATTGTCCTGATTCTTCTGTCGCCTCCTTGCTACGTACCGGCTTGTAAACTGTCTTTACCGCAACTTCGGTCAGTCTATCTATCGGCGCAAGATCCTTCCCAAGTAACCACCCGTTAGGTCATATTTGTACCTACCTAGTGTAGGGATGTAAAGATGTGTTGTGTATCAATCCCAAACTCCCGTTGTGTTCCACAACCGCTTTCCCACCGCTTCCCCACCGCTTCCGCTGCATGAGACGAGGCGAAGCAGGAAGGTAGGAAGGTCGGTCGGTCGGATTACTTGCATACTGTATCTAGGTAGGTACTTGAGCTCACGGCACTCATCTTTAACTGGAGGCTCTGGAGCTAGGAGCAGCAAGACAATACGATACGTTACAATCATCTCCCTACCTACATAACGGGACTTGACTTGATACACGCAAGAAAGTGCCGAAGGGAAGAAGTCTGGCTGGCTGGATGCACGACGGGTTTTGTGTGGTTTGCTTGCTTGTTTCATCATCACTATCCTCACCGTTGTTGTTCGTCGTCATCGTTCGGACCCGAGGGACTGGAAACGATGGAAGGCATCAATCGGATCAGATGGAACTCTTCGTATAGCGGCTGTTACATGAGGGATGGAGGGATGTGGTCTGCCGAGGTCCTCGTCTTTTTTGTATCGAGGTTTCATGCTCGGTGTCTGTTTCTGGTAGGTAGCAATCATCAAAATGAATTGAAGCAGATGCAAATGAGATCTGAAACGAAGAAACGGCCCGTAGCCGCATCCGCAAAATCAAAGTCAGTATCGTATCAAAATCCTTCGAACAGAATCCTTCGAAGGAATCAGATCCATCCATCCTCATTCAAAAAGGAAGCGAGGACCCTTCAAGTCTTGGCATTCACATTGAAAAAGAAAAAAGCGGGGACTCTTTTGTGCCTACCCCCTGCTGCAGTGCCCTGGAATGTGGCGCTCAGCAGTGTCCCCCCATTTGCAAACATGATTGGCTGGAGCTAGCGTTTCAGCTTCGAGAAATGGAGATCGTCGTCCCGAAATCCACATTTCCGGTTGGGATTCTCTTTTCCTAGATTTCCCTTCATTTTCCCAATCTTCGATATCGGTTGGATGGATGGCACGTTTCTAATATAAAAAAATAAAAAACCGAAACCGACTCCAACGACATAAAGAGCCAAGGACACCGCAGCATTGGAGGAGGGGCTAGAGAGATGACCTGCACTGGGAGGAACAGGTACATATCAAAGTTGTGAAGCTTGTGATGGGGTGCCGCGGGTAAATGCCAATGTCGACTGGATTCTTCTACACTACTGTGTATGGCAGATTGGCATCCCTCAAACTAATGGAAGCGCCCTGTTGAGGATCGATACCGAGGATACTTGGGGGCTTCGTGTCGTCTTGTCAAACCCATCAAACAACGAACCACTTTGAGTTTCAAGAGAGGCTCGCCATTGATCAGCTTTACGCGGCGGCGGCGGCAGAGACTGTATCAAGTTGATGGCACAGGGCAAACGAAGCCTGCGTGTCTGCATCAGATCACTACCGTTTGCTGATTGACTTTGTGCGGTCCGACAAAACGAATGCGGAAGGTGTCCTTGTTGGCTCGGATTCCCGTTTGTCATTATGGCCCGGTCACTGTTGGTCGGCCGGCTATCGGG